GAAATAATATGACTACAGTACAGCACGTAATTATATCGTGTACAGATCGAGAATCAAAACGTGAACGTATATTTTTTAGATGTAACATATTCTAAAAAACCTCAAAGTTTGTCTGAGATAAGTATTATAGTGGCTTTGAAAAAGAATCAACGCTTTTTATGTTAGTCGACTTGGTTCTAATGAACGATTACTTTTGCTTTGGACTACCAGCTATGACATGCATTATTTCACTGATGCAAATAAAATATAGTTTTGTGGTTGAAATTGTTCTCTAAGTCCTCCTGAACATGATGGGGGTGTCACAAATGGGTGACTTCCCCCCTCCCGCTAATCGTCAACATCCCATTTACTTATTGTAATATATATTGTAATTATTACAGATTGAAAATAAAATTTTATTCAATAAGAAAAAAAAAGTCCTGAACATTTTTCACGTGTTCTTGTTTATTGTTGATTAAAAATTGTTTAGGTAATTTATAGAAAAAAACTTATTTATTTTAAATCATTTTTTTATCGTACTTTTTAACAACAATTAAATTCATGTCTAGAAATCATATTACCGGCCCAACGCCCTCTTCCAGTTAAATCCTTTACTGTAAAATTTTTTGTTAAATTATAATTAACGACGTAATATAAATGTATACAGAATATCTATGCTAATTAATTTTGCATGTAAAAGTAAGTAGATTTATCAAAACTACATAATTTGTAATTAGTTACAAAATGTTTATATTATATACATTTTGTTCGTACCTATACTTACATTTGTTTGCACGTCACAACTACAAGTGTCCTTAAATATAGTACATAAAAACGTAATCAGAGTAAATTCAATTGTACATAAAAACATTAGTAAATTCATAATTACATATTACGTAAATTATGTTTACAAATTCGTCTGTATACATTTTAATTTCTGATATCAATGCTACGAATGAGTGCAATTTGGGGAAGGCCGGCTTAGACCCCTAAATACTCCTTAGCCCCCCCCCCCCCCAACAGAGTTTATTAGGTATAAATTTGTCCAGTCAATTCAAAGTAAAAAAGGTGCTCTGCTGTACACTAGGTTACAAGTAGGTCACTGTATAATGGATGATATTAAAGTTGAATTCAATGACATAATATCATTGTATAAGAAAAACGATTCTGAGCGGAGACGGTATGTCAGTCTATGTATAAGATATATTATATACTTATCTATCGTATTAAAAAAAATTGACCAATTATAGGTACCTATAATAAATTCCAAATTAATCATATCACAATATTCATTAGGTACTTATAACTTGTTATACATCAACAACAAACCCTGATACTATCATATATATATAATAGTGTACTTTAGAAGTTTCAAGTACCCACGAATAATATTATACAATCACAACAAAATAACTAAAATAGTTATTATAGGTTTTTTATTATGTAATTTCGTAAAAATTTGAACTTAAAATGACATAAAAATAAACTGTGCTTATGTATTTTTTAGATTTTTTGGTAACAGAATTAACTACTTACGTGGAATCTTGTTTTCAATTTTCAATCCTTATATATAAAAGTTTAACCTTTATTAAATTTTTAACTACAAAATAATTATTCAATTTTAAATTTGATAAATTTTGTCAAGATTCGATCTTTAAATGCTTATAAAAAAAAACATGAATATGTATTTTTGATATTTTTCAAATGATATTGTAACAATATATCAGGAGCCTTGTATTAAATTTTTACACTTTTAGGCCCAACCGATAAAACTTTATTGATATTTATTGAAATAAAACTAAAATAATTGAAAACTGAAAATGTCCGTAAATAGCTCAAAAAGAGTCAAAATATTTTCAATAATTGTACAGTGTATAGGAAATGCTAATATGAACATTCAGTGAAATTTTCATGTATCTACAGTTATTCGTTTTTGAATTACAACAAAATAAATAAATCGCTACATGAGAAATCGAGTGAATATCTAAAAAAATTAAAAAAATTAAAAAAACAACACACATCATTGTAAAATCAATACATTCATCGTTTCACTCAGAATCTAAAATTTAAATTGTGCCTGTGAATGAACAGCAGCTTTCAGCGATAGCCGATAGTATATAGATAGTTATGTATGTCAGGTATTCCACCGACTGTTAGTCTAATAAATAGTGATCAATGCTAATATACTATATAGTTCGTTTAATATAAAATATTAAGTACATAGGTCAAAATTCAAAAAATAAATAAAAACTAACCTTTTGCACTAAAATATATCAACAGGTACCTATGTAAACCTACATAAAAAAAAGGTGGGTAAGTGGGTGTCACTCTGCTGTACAGTAGGTTACAAGTGGATCACTGTATAATGGATGATATTAAATTTAAATTCAACGATATATTATCATTGTATAAGAAAAACGATTCTGAGAGGAGACGGTATGTCAGTCTAGGTATTAGACATATTATATTCAAATCTATGGTATTAAGCAAAAAATTGACCTATTATAGGTACCTATAATAAATTCCAAATTAATCATATCACAATATCCATTAGGTACTTATAACGGGTTATACATCAACAAAAACCGTGATACTATCATAGATATATAATAATACACTTTAGAAGTTTCAAGTACCCACGAACAATATTATTCAATCACAACAAAGAAACTAAAATAGTTATTATAGGTTTTAGATTCTGGGTGAAACGATGAATGTATTGATTTTACAATGTGTGTTTTTTTTTTTATTTTATTATTTTTTTTTTTTGTGTCTGTCATCACGTTTTAGGACAGTAAAAGTGCTTGGATTTTCTTCAACAGTAGCTTATCTGATAGGAAAGTGAATCCAGTTGGTACTTTGGGGGGTCAAAAGTAAAAATATCCTAGTAGTTTTCACAAGCGCCGGGAAAAACAACATAAAAATTAAGGAAAAACGGGAATTTTTACGCAAAATTGGTTTTCCAAAAAATCGATTTTGGTTTTTAGTGTAACTCTAAAACAAATCGTATATACATGAAATTTTCACTGGTTGTTTATATTTGCATTTTCTATACACGATAACATTTTCAAAATATTTTGAACTGTTTAGGGACATTTTCATTTTCCATTTTTTTTTAGTTTTTTTTCTAAAAATATCAATAAATTTTTATTTGTTGGTTGCGAAAGCTTGAAAATTTAATAGAAGGCTCCTAATATATTGTTTCAAAGGCAGATAAAAATATTAAAAATCCTTAGTCACAATTTTTTTTATAAGTATTTAAAGTTCAAAAATTGTAAAAATATGGAAAAATCATGAAAATTAGCGAATTATTTTGAGTTAAGAATTCGTAAAAATTTTTCTTTTTAAATCTAAGATTTGAAAATGTAATACAAGATTACTCATAAGTTTGTCTACCTTTATCAATAAAAAAAATCTCTACCGGAAAGTCAAAGTAAATTTTTATGAGCGTTTGAAATTCAAATTTTTACAACATTGGATGTTCACTCGATTTCTCATGTAGCGATTTCCTTATTTTGTTGTAATTCAAAAACGAATGACTGTAGATACATGAAAATTTCACTGAATGTTTAAATTAGCATTTCCTATACACCATACAGTTTTGAAAATATTTTGACTCTTTTTGAGCTGTTTATGGACATTTACAGCTTTCAATTATTTTAAGTTTTTTTTTCTATAAATATCAATAAAGTTTTATCTGTTGGGCCAAAAAGTGTAAAAATTGAATACAAGGCTCCTGATATATTGTTACAATATCAGTTGAAAAATATTAAAAATACATAGTCACAGTTTTAGATTAATGAATTTTAATTTATTTTGGTACATATTGGAATAGGTAACTGAACCGATTTACAATAGCCAGATTATTATAAGTAAATCACGTTTTTCTTCTATGCATTACAAAAATTAATCTCGTGTTTACTGCCAAATGTTTATATATAAATTATATAATAACAATCTGCAATCAAAACCCGTAATAAAATATAAATTATTATTATACAAAATATTCACAGTTATAAGTAATCAGTAATCACTTTACAGCTGCTCTGCACTAGTTCGATAGTACCTACCTATTGCTTGTTTATTTTAATTGTTAAATAGGTACTTAATAGTACCTACCCAAATATTAAATAATACTAACTTTTTTAAATTTAATCAATTCAATGAATCCAATGAACGAGGCCGAGGACGAAGAAGTCCCATGTATTGGTACGTAATACGTTTTATGTAATTTTAAACTCTATTATTTTTATTTGTTTTATTACCTGGGAATTGTAGCTTTAAAAATCACACATTCATTTTTTATCTTTATGTAAATAATAAAAATATCAATATCAATTTTACATTATTTAATAAAGACCAAAGAGCTATTTTAAAATAAAACAATTATAAATACTTAAATAGGAACCATATAACATAATATTATATTATGTTATCGGCTAACCAAATACAGTATTAAGTATTAAGTTTAACTATAGTTTAGCCATCTACAATAACAGATAACTAAAAAATTAATTATTTTTACACATATTATATTAGATAGTCCATCATTTTATTAAATTATTTATATTCTTTATGTATCTATGTACAATATTTATTTAGAAGTTAACGTTTCTTACTATTTTTTAATACAGACAGTGCTAATACATTAATTTTTATTTCCTACAACTTATTTTAGTCAATAACTTCTATGGGGAAGTACATCAGAAAAACAAATTGCCAAAGTTGGTCTGAAGAAGCAATGAAACTTGCGATAATGTCCGTCATAGAGAAAGTTATGGGGTATAAAAAAGCATCATTAGCTTATGGTGTGCCTCAAACAACTCTTGAAAATAGAGTGAAAAAGTATAAAAAAAATGATTTAAAATTGAAAAAGCTGTTGAAAAAAGTAAGTTACATTAAATGTACACTATTTAAAATATTTTATTGAATTACATCTTTTTTAATACCTAGCTTTGGGGAGCATTAAACCGGTATTTACTGTGGAGCAAGAAGAGGAACTGGTGAACCATGTTTTGAAAATGAAAGAAATACTATATGGGTTAACTATCAGAGATATACGTTCCTTAGCATTTCAACTGGCTGAAACTAATAAGTTACCAAACAACTTCAATAAAGTCAACCAATTAGCAGGAAAATCATGGGTATATGGTTTTTTTAAAACACATCCCATATTATCTCTTAGTACACCCGAAAAAACATCAGCTAGTCGTGCTCAAGGATTCAACAAGATAACTGTTGGTAAATTTTTTAATCTATTAAATAGTTTGTATGAAAAATACCAGTTTTCACCTGATAAAATATTTAACGTTGATGAAACGGGTCCAAAAAAAACGTCAAAAATTGTTGGTCAATGTGGTAAAAAACAGATCGGTGGTACATCAGGTGAACGTGGTGTATTAACAATTATTATTATGTGCATGAACGCAGCTGGAAATTATATGCCACCACATTTTATTATACCTCGACAAAGATCAGTGCCTGCTATTTTGGATGATGCTCCACCTGGATCTACAGTTTCCTTTCACCCTTCAGGGTGGATTCAAACTTCTATATTTAATGACTGGTTTGGTGAGTTTTTATTATTTTCAAAACCATCATTAAATAAGCCTGTGCTATTGTTATTGGATGGACATGCCACTCATGTCAAGAATATTGATTTAATAATAAAAGCAAGAGAAAATTATGTCCATTTGTTATGTTTCCCTCCCCATACTACACACCGCCTTCAACCACTTGATGTATCTTTAATATACCCGCTTAGTACATATTATTCAGAGGAAGTGCGAAAGTGGCATGTAAATCATCCTGGTAGAGTGGTTACTATACATCAAATTCCTAAGCTATTCAAACCATCATTTTTGAAAGCATGTACTATGCAAACAGCAGTAAATGGATTTAAAAAAACAGGAATTTCCCCAATTAATCCAGATATATTTCCAGAGTACATGTTTGCTCCAGCAGAAACTACGGACATTCCCAATGAACCTGATAATCCTAATGCTGATGCTTTTGCTAATGCTAATACTGACTGTGTTAATTTGACTGGTGAATTTCAGAATAATCATTGTGAGCAACTGGTTGTGAATTCTGAAGACTTAAATGAAAACAACTGTACAATTTCTATTGGGGAAAATCCTGGAACGAGTGGGACTCAAAAAAATGTATCAGTTAATGTTCTATCGACGATCCTGACTGGCGGTTGTCGCCTGACACACAGTCCTCGGGATTGTAGGGTAGGGCAAATATTTAAGAATAACAAAATTTCGTATAAAGAGCATAACATATGATTGCATGTATCAACCTTTACAGTTTACATGCACACATAGGCGGAAATCGGGGGGGCTAGAGGGGACTAAGCCCCCTCAGAATTTTAAAGTACAGGTCTTAGCCCCCCCTGGCCCTCACAATTTTAATGTGACTAAATATATAAAAATATATAATAATTAGTATAATTAAAAAATGCATTTTTAATATCTGAATTCCAAAATCAGATACTGATATAGTTAATGCTTTTTCTAATAAAAACCGATATATTGTGCTGAAATAAATCTATAAGTGCACTTATTATGTTATATACTTGGCTTCTTTGTTTTAACATCTTATATTAAATTGGTTATAATTCAATTAATTTAATAACTTAATAATAAAATAAATGTAATGCTATTTTTGTTTAGAATAAAATGTTCAAGGTACCTATGGCACATTATTGTTTTTGTACTTTATTAAGGTTAAATTGTTTAGTATGTCAAACTTTGTAAATAATTGTCTTGTTGAAATAAATAATTGCGAGCGACTTTAGTACATTTTATAGTGCCTATATAGGTACAATGAGAAATATAATGCTCAGCCCCCCCCCAGTAATTTCACCAAATTTCCGCCTATGCATGCACAACAATGGTGTTCATACTGCTGGCGTCAGCATTTCCGTCATTACATCTAAACTGTGACAACGTACAGCACGCACAATGGGTAACTCTTTTCTCTCAGCTCTTCACCGTCTCTTCCTAGAAGAGTGTATTACACACACGATCCATTCTATACAAACGTATTTCTAATGTCTTTGCTAAATTAATGTAAACACCGCCATAGTTTTTATATTGTTTATTTTCTTTTTACGTTGTGTCAACAAAACCAAAAAAGAGTTCGTGATTTATAATACTGTATTACTATTGTGGTGTGTGTACTGGCGACGCTCGCTATTAAAGCATCTCCCAATTTTCGTTCGTATTAATTTGTATTTACGCGTTCTATTTTTTTGTCATTGTCGTCATCAGTAAGATGACACAATAATCATTGTAACTTTCTCTGGTTTCGCGGATATAGAATCTGCAGACCATTTATACAACGGGTATTAACAAATCATAATATATCGTTCACAATCGGTGAGTACTTACCTATTTATTTGGTTCCATTTATAATACCTACCTCTCTGTTAGATAGTCCGGACTGACTATAGTCAACCAGAATTGAGCGTACGGTGATCATTACAATATCATCTGCATCATTGTTGGCATCACTCATCATTAGCGTAAGTCCACCAGCAACCATTGTGCGTTGTGTGAGTGGCCGCCCATTGATGCAATACGCTGTATAATGGCCAATCATATACCTCCACCTCAGTCATTGATGCGTGGACATTCTGGATCTTTCAATGGATATCGTGACAACTGGATACACTTCCGTAGCCTAAGTTAGTTGTAAGATTATCTCCAATTGTTGTGAGCTCTGTGGTCATTGCACCAGACCGATCCGATCACAGAGAGACCCCCCTCATATACTCAAACTGCATACTCCTAGTTCCCATTGTATAACTTTTATCCTTCACATCCTCGCGTTTTTGGTTCCTTGTTGTCCACCGTCGCGTCATTGCCACCCACCGTCATATCATTGAGCTGTTTGTTGAATTGCCTATATCTTGGAAGTAGGCGTTGTCATATTGTCACTTCTGAAACGTTAATCGTGCATGCAACTATGGTTGCCTATCCTTGACGCCGTCAATCTGTTCGGTAGATACAATCATTACAAGTACAATCTATCGAACTGGTCCTTCAAATCATCGAATACTCTACATATTTTGGTCCTTCGAACCGGATTCGCAAGACTAACCTAGACCTTATACATTATTCTACGGGTATATCTTGTCATATCGCATAGGAGTCAATTTCTCTAAACGTTTCAACATGGTTAACGAAGGGGAAATACTGTACTTCCAAGCAAAGTCGCGAATAATTCGAGCATTGGCCCGAGTCACTTATTTATCCAAAACCGCAAATGAGTAAGTTGGTGAAGTAAATAGTACCAGCAAAAGAGCAAAGGTGGAAACCATGCTTATGGATTTAAAGGACATACGTACAGAGGTCAATAACGAAATACACATCATGGAGCACGCAGTAAGTTCAAAAACAGCACCTGAGGATGTCACGGACAATGCCTGTACAATTTCGTTTGTTGATTCTTTTGATTCAATGTATTATTACATTATGGCAAGGGCGAGCCTTCACAAGATGGTACTATCTCCACAATCTGATCCTTCACAGGGACATAATACGACTCAGTTTGGTGGAACTCAACATTTATCAATCTACCAATTACCAAAACGGTCATTCCCGACTTTTTCCGGTGATATAACTGAATATCAAGGGTTTGAAGATCTTTTCTTGTCAATACTTTCACATACCCCGGACATGTCTGACGTTGAAAAATTGGGAGCATACTACTTGCGTGCGAAATTATTATCAGTAGGTGAGTGGCGTCCCTCAAAAAAGGGTTCAAAAAGGTCATAGCCGATTTGCTTCCCAGTACACCTTTTTTTATGACCTAATTGCGTCCCAAAAATATCGATATAATCGATATAAAAATGTAAAAAAAAAAACTGTGAAAAAAACTATTCTAAGCGACAACGGTCAGTCAGCCTATGATATTACTAAGTATATTTCAATCCTTAGCAATAGTCATAATATAAAAATGCATGTTATAATAAATTATCAGTTCAATTCAATTGCAATAATAATAATAATAATATAAAAATTCATGTTTTACATTTTGTCATGATAATCAAAATAATAATTGAAATAGTCATAATTCAAATATAGTAGGTATAATATATGCCATGTCATGATATACGTTATATTGGTTGAAATTTTTTCCATAGCTTAAAAAATTTTATTTTTATTTTATAAAGATATGAAAAAAATAACAATTTGGTAAGACAACTGCTCTGCCCAAAATAAGAATTGGTGCTTACTGCTTCTTTACATTTTTAATTTTTATTATTAATTCTCAAGAACTTGAAACTACGGTGATCGATATTTTCTATTTTTAACCAGGCCTTAGCTTTATGCCTGCAGATTCATTCCATCATCAAGTTGAACTTTCCATGAAACATATGGGTAAAATCTATGATTTGTATGATTATGAAAAATTAATCAAAAATTCACATAAAGACCATGTGGATGTTAAGGTATTAGATTGCAAAGATTTTTTTGATTGGAAGTCAGAATGCTCTATATATAAATTAAACAAACAAGCTACTCGCAAAATGTTGAATAGCATAGTTCATATAAGAGCAGAAAGAGGTCTAAAATATTTATTGTATTCATATACATATGATGAATATACTCCATATAGAATGCTTGATTTCTTAAAACCTTCATGTTTAAAAAGATTTTGAAAACCACAGCAAAAAACTGAATTAAGGGGCATTCAACCGAAAAAAAAACAAAGTATTATAAAAACATGATGCGGACCTGTGGGGTGCCGCGTGGATGGTGGATGAAGGTGACCAAAAGAAAAGACAGGTTAAAAAAAAGAAGAATACAACAAAACGACGCACTGGTGTAGTTTAGGTTTTTATTAGTGGTGAAGTCAACCAATAAATTGCGAAACGGTATCGGTAGTGGTGTTAGACTCGCGGGGACATGGGTGACGGGTGTCGAGGTTCGTGTCCGGGTCGCAGAGAAAAACAAGTGACTTCAACAAGCCGGTTCGCCGAACGGCCGGCCGACGGTTCACGGCGCGGGTGTGGCGCGCCGGCGTCGTCCGTCGTCGATTGGCGGTTTGTTTGAGAAGCCACAGCGCGGTTTCCGCGTAAAGGCTGTTTGAATTCAAACACTACGCCTAAGAGCAGACATCAATTTTGGTTTTATTTTCCTACATCAGATACAGTAAATGATTTATATGAAGAAACTGAAAATTAGAAACTGTTAGTATCGATATTGTGTGTAAGGAAAATAACGTGTTGGTATTTATTCAATTTATTATTTCACGTTTATTTCACATACGTAATAATTCGTTATACAGATACAATTTGGTGATGTGTAATACAGTATTTCTTTTGAATTATTATATATTATACTCTTGCGAGTGTACATAAAAAATATTTTAATTACGGGATTTACATAAAATATTGGGGGGGGGAACAGCATGAACATTTAACTCACGGTTTGTAGAATGGTATGTGGCGGGACGATGGTGGCAATGAGCATCCACGTACAGTGGCGCGATCACGGCGGCACGGTAATAATTGATTATTACCGGCGTGAACGGCTCGACTCTCGGTAAACAACAGTGACTCAGCTCTGCGTGGCGGTATGTTGGTTTTTTCGACTGGTGGTGTGTAGGACAAATTCAACTCTACCGGTAAGAGGTAGGTCAATGACCGGACAGCGGCGGCTATGGCTCGACGTTCTCGACAGACGGTGAGTAGATGGTTGGACGGCGGCAGCTACGGCTCGACGTTCACAACTTCGTACAGGTCGGCAGACACGTGGTTTGGACGGCGGCAGCTTCGGCTCGGCGTTCTCAAATAGACGGTGGCGACGAGTTACGGGTACAGCACAGTGGTCGGAAGGCGGCACAGGAGTCGGTTGACCTTCTCTGACGGGCGGCGACGAACAACTGATCGGACGACGGCGGCGACGGCTCGGCGTTCTCGACACGTGATGGTCGGTAGCGTAGGGAGTGCCGGGAAAGACTGTACAATGTCCGTTATCGGCGGTCAAAAAAGACCGTCCGGCTCATTGAGTCTAGTGGGCAGGAATTGCTGTAATAGAGTTTCGAAATTAGCATCCGTTCTCGGCGGTAACAAATACCGTCCGGCTTGCTATTCTCGCTTCTCTCAGCTGGAGAACTGTGTGTGTACGGCGGCCAGCGGCCTGTATTTATGCCATTCGAGGCTCGCTGGTCCCGTCTCGAATGTTATCTGACACCTTGCGTGATTCGAAACTGCAGGTTATTGTTCAGAGTGTTTGGAGATTACCAGATTATGGTGAAAATAACGCTGATTTTGAATATGTTCGTAACGTTTTGATAGCTCTATTGGTTCCCACGGAAAACTCAGGTTTTCCGTGGGCGGCATGCGTTGTTTAATCATTGCGCGGCGGAGCGCTATCTGTGGTTTGCGGTTTGCGGTTGGGCGGTCGATGTTTCTACGCGGCGGGCGATGTTTGACCGTGGGTAATGATCACAACGAGAGTGCGCCACGTTGATGGCCACACCGTTTTGTCTCATTACATTGTCCCCTTTTTTATTTATTATTTTTTTTTTTTTTTTGAAGATTTTGGAGTGAGAAAAAAAAAAAAAAATAAAAATAAAAACTTTAAAATTTTGACGCTGTGTGTTTGTGGTGTAGTGAATTATTAGTTTGCTGTTGTTATGGTTGATATTGTTGTTTCATACCCTTTATCCTTTGATTCTTCTCCTTGTAGATCAGTCTTCGCAGGCGAGTCTTGGAAACATTTTCAAAGTCCTTCAAGTAGGCTCCGACCTTTAGTATACTCTTTCTGATCTCTACCGGGGATTCTGGATGGCGGTCGATTAAGTGCTTTATCGTCATGATGATAACCTCTGATTCGGTTTCACTTAAATTACTGGACCGGGGCGACTGTTCTTTTTCTTCATGTGCAGTGGTCGGTGCTGCTTCCTGTGGTTGAGCTAGGGTGTGACATGGTGCTGGTCTTTGCTCCCAATGTGCGATAAAATCATCCCACGTCATCCCGGTGGCAGATGGTCTTCGGGTGGCTTGCATGGTAGGTGGAAGGCTCCATGAGGGTTCCGGGTTGTATCTAGTTCTCTTTGCCTCCTCCTGACGGTAGAACATGGCTATTTTGCGTCTTTCTTCGATGGTTAGCAGTGCGTCGATGTGGGTTACCTCCATTTTGTGCAAGACCTTTCTGCTTTTTATTTTGGTCAATGGAATCTGTACGAACATCTTTCTGGTTCCTACATAGTGGGGGGGTATTTGTGTTACATAAGAATTTAAAAGTTTATTACATGGATTCACAAGCAAGTTATTTTGGGCGACATATATATTGTTTTTTTTTTTTTTTTTTTTTTTTTTTTTTGTTTAATTATTTGTTTGAGATACTCCGCTCACGGGTTTGTAGTATCTCTTGATGTTTTTGAAGTTGATGGTTCGATGACTTCCATTGATTTGGATAGTTACCGTGTTATTATTATGTACTGCTTGTATTTGGTATGGTCCGTGGTAGATCAGGAATAACTTATGGGTCTCCTTATCCTCAGCGGAGGATAACCTATGTTCTTTGATCAGGATCTGATCGCCCACGTTATACTGAGGGAATCGTTTATCTCTGTCTTTGTATGCGTTTCGCAGATCAGCTTGCTTTTTTGACCGTTTCATTACAATCTGTATAATGTCGGGGGGTTTCTTCAGGTCCTCGTGTTTAGGAAAAACTACCAATTTGCTTATTGATAACTTGGTTTTCTCCCCAAACATTATATAGTTCGGTGTATAACCAGTGGTTGTATGGGTAGTGTGGTTGATCCAGTACTCTACATTATCTAACCATTTTAACCAATTTGTATGTTGCTTATGACAGTAGGTTCTTAGTAGGCGGCCAATTTCCCGATTTGCCCTTTCTACTGGATTACTCTCCGGATGATAAATCGTTGTGTGCAGGTTGGTGATTTTCAATCCTTGCATGACTTTTTCCCATTTAGTACTGGTGAACTGCGTTCCGTTGTCGGTTAGGATCTTCTTGAACAAACCAATGGTGGGTATGTATTCACTCACTAGTCGTTTTATTATGGTGTCGGTAGTGGCTCTTTTTAACGGATATAGTTTGATATATTTGGAGAACACATCCAATATTGCCAAGATGTATCTACATCCTCCCTGTCCCCTGGGTAGCGGGCCCATTAGGTCGGCAGATACCATTTCCCTTGGTTCGGTGGGTAGGAGGCTTAACGTTGGTCCCCTAGCCGTTATATTGCTTATTTTCGCCTTCTGGCACAGATCACATGTTTTGATTATTTGCTTAATCGTCCGATACATGTTTTTAAATTGGTGGTCCTGCTGCAACAGTTTATATGTCTTATACGTCCCGCAATGGCCATATATTTTGTGTGTTTCTTCCACCAGCTGTTTTACTGCTATCTCTGGCACCATGATCTGATAGTCACCCGAGGGCGCTTGACGAAATAGTAGGTTCTGATGTATCATGAGATTATGATTGGTCCTTTGCGTGACCCTTTGTTTAAGTTTCTGAATGTGTTCATCTTGCTGTTGTAACACCTCGAAGTCTTTGAATTGTTCTTTTAATTCCTTGCTGTATTCTAATAGCGATAATTTGTTGATAATGATTATCTTGTTGCTGGCTGTTGCGTCGTCGGTGTGTGACTGCGGATACCGTGTTAATGTGTCGGCACCGACATTCTCTTTCCCTGGAATGTGTGTTATTTCCAACTGAAACTCCTGGAGAAATGTAGCCCATCTGACCAGTCGAGCATTGAGTAGTTGACACGTATTGAGGAATGTAAGTGCATGATGGTCGGTTAATATTTTGGTCTTATGTCCAAGTAAATAATTTCTAAATTTTTTACATGCGAAAACTATTGCAAGCAATTCAAGCTCCGTGGTGTTGTAGTTTTGCTCAGCTGCTTTTAATGTCCTACTGGCAAAACTGAGGGTTTGGTGTTGTCCTTCTTCCGTAATTTGATAGAGTTCAGCCCCAAGGTGAGTTGTTGAGGCATCGGTGTTCAGATGAAATTCTCTCTTGAAATCTGGGAATTGAATTATTATATCCTCGAGGAATTTTTGTTTTATGTTGTCAAAAGCTTGCTGCTGTATGGTTCCCCACATCCATTTTGCATCTTTTTTGGTTAATTTACTAAGTTGTCCGGTGTCTTGAGATAGATCCCTGATGAATTTTCTGTAAAAATTTATGAAACCAATGAATGCTTGTACCTGTTTTTTCGTCTTGGGCGGCTGGAAGTTCATCACGGCTTGTATTTTATCTGGGTCCATAGATATCCCTTTTTCACTTATTATGTGACCCAGAAAAATCACTTGTTTTTTCAAAAATTGTGACTTTTTTCTGTTGATTGTGATGTGGTGTTGTGCAAATTTTTCAAAGATTTGTTCTAAGTGACAAATATGTTCTTGAAAACTCGTGGAAGTGATGTGTATGTCATCGACATATATGGCGGCAAATTGTAGAATTTCCGGTCCTAATACTTGATCTAAGATTTTTTTGAACTCGGCAACTGAATTGATTAATCCAAAAGGTAATACCTTAAACTGGTAATTACGGCCTTTGTGCAAAAATGCTGTAATTTCCCGACATTCGGCTTTTAGTGGACACTGCCAATAACCTGCCGTCAAGTCAATCGAGCTTAGGTATTTCGTTCCCTGGAACTTGATGAGAGTGTCGTCCATATTTGTTGGACATTCTCGATCCGGTATTATGACTGTGTTAATTTTTCTGGCATCTAGGCATAATCGAATCTCTCCATTTTTCTTCTCAATACAGACTATGGGTGATGACCATGGTGATGTTGATTTTTCTATGACTTGTAAATCCAGCATCCTCTGTATCTCGGCATCCACCTTAGGTATCCTCGATATTGGTATTGGATAGGGTCGCTGGTAAATTGGGTCCCCTGGTTTGACACGTATTTGACATTGAAACTCGGTAATCTTTCCAGGTTGTTCAGAAAAAATGTGTTCGTACTTGTTTAACAATGATACAAACATTTGACTTTCTTGATCGTTTAGACTGACGTGGTCATTATCCAAGTTGTCATTAATTTCTACGTTAAGCAGATGATCCTTGGTTATCCTTGGTTCTCTGTTGGCGAATGGTACAGTGATTGGTATATTATTGACGTTGAATTGTACTGTCTGTTTGTTGAATTTAATTTGTGCTGAATATTTGTTCAATATGTCTGCTCCAAT